GAAGCAAGCGCTTTGTTAGGTGAGTCAATGCCAGCATGTTCATTGCCACCAACGGGCCCCCTTGAGCAGAACAATTCCCTTTGTTACTTACATGGCTTTGTTGTTGTGCATGTGCCCGCGTCCGTGTTCCATGTCACAGACCTATTGAACTAAATGTCAGATGTTTATCACATGGCCTTGCCATTGTGTTGCATTTATTTGGCCCTGTGGCCGAAAGGCAGGTTAATTCCTACCAATGTATAAAACTTACAATGTATGTAAAGAAAAGCGTTATTTCAAAATTATTGCAAAATGTAATAAAGAAATTGTTCTCCTCGCTGACTAAATTATATTCAATTCTGATGATGAAGCAAGTTTGCCATTTTAGGTGAATTCATGTTTTTTTCCTTTGTTGTGGGGTTCCCTCTAAAGCCAAGTTAGGCTACAGCTCAGGCGATGTACGACTTATTCCTTCTGTTTAGCTTGGATCTTTGTCAATTAAAAGCCAACTTTGAATCAGACCCCATGTTTTGGATTGTGCTGTTTTTTTCTGTGCAAGCGGGTGGCCTTGCTCAGCTACATGTGCCTCCGGCTCAGAGTGGCGGTAATCTTATCAGGCCCTCAGCCATCCTTGCATTGAGTAGGTAGGACAGGCTCAAGCGCATGTCACGGATCAGTTCCAGACCGCACTTTAATATACATACATATGAGTCCCTTTGTTCATGTGTAATCAGCTAGAGAAATGAAGCTGTTTGTTTTTGATTTTCTCGCGGCTATTTGACCAGACTGCCTAGATCACCTATTTACAACACAAGCTTTACAAACACACTGTGGCGCTCAATCAGGTAGCTCGAGGCAAGGCCGCCGATGATTACAGACGATACATGTGACGATTGCACTCTGTCATATACATTCGGCTTCATCTCTTGTCTGTTAGAGAGTATGTTATTGAAGCTGTCAACAGAAATCCCTCTACCAGAATGCAAATTCATCTTGAAACAATGGACGCAATAAGACCGGGCTCATAATCCCTTCTCTGAAATGCAACAGGGAGACGACTCTGACGATTAAAAATTTCAGAGCGGCGTTCAGTATGTCTGTCACATTTTGTTAGATTTGTCACTTTTTATCCGAGAAACTTATTCTAGTAACTCGATTTAAATACAAGTTTATAAGTTCCTGACTATTCCCCAAAGTCTTCTACTCACTTGCTAAATGACAAGGACTTGAAACAGAGTGGCGTGGCTGTGCTCAGCCTTTGTTAAATTCTCCTACTGGTCTTAAAATAAAAAAGCCTCTACTATACTCTCGCTTCTGCTCCCAGCACTGCTGCTCAACTTTCTCCATCCTCCAGCGATTCTCAAAGCTTCTCCTACTCCACCTGTGTGTAAACTTCATTTGACAACAGATAGACAGTTATGAGGGCACAGCTTTATGTCGTCTGATCCGGTAGGAGTCCATGATAAGAGCATAACCCGTGAGCACCTGCTTGTTTTTCTGTAGCGTGTTTCCACAGTTGGTGCGAATAACCCCAGCCCGGCTGGGACAAAGGCATGGAATCTACCTGCGCTGGGCTTCTTCGACGCCTCCTGGGGTGGCCAGGCTCAACATCTGGAAGCACTGTTGCTGAAACTCTGGAAAACCCTTCTCCCAGCCGCCAATCTACCCATTTCCCCAACTTATCTTGGGACTATCGATCACTTGCGCAAGAAACAATATGGAACTCCCTCTCTCAGAAGCTCAGAAAAACGTACATTTTTGCATTCTGTTCCAGAAAAATGTTGAATATATGTCGCTGTGTTACAAAATAGACTCGTTCGAAAACTTTCCACACAGGAAGAGCTTCGCGAAGAGCCTGGTGAGACGTTTCGTGAAACGTTTGAATGGTTAGAAGAATCAGTGAACAAGAAATCCACACCAGCATTCCTTTGTCTCGGAGAAAGCGATAGGAATAATCATAGTGTGCACAGCAGAGGTCAATAGTTCTCGCCGCACGGTCATTTCCTGGTGCGAGACACTTGGAGTGCCCTAGCAGCCAGGACTTCCAAAAGTGAGATCGAACACTTCCTGGTTCCTTGAAGGTTCATTGTTTTTTGAAAGTCCACTCTTACGTTTCACTTCAGGTCTCTGGCTCCCGTGGCATACTAATTTATCTCCTCTCTCGCTGTATAATAGCTTCGCAAACTCACCTCTCTATTCTCCATGATTTGGATTAATCAGTTTCTCCCTCGACCTTCACTTTCTTGTAATTGTCCTCCTCCGCTCTCGTACTTACTCGGGTGCTAGCGACGCCACAACTACCAACATGCCCTTAATGTTAGGCGCTCACAGCAACCAATATGATAGCTTCTGAGGCACCATGCGAAAAAACTGGAATAAATTACAAAGATCCTCGGAGGCAGTCAACGAGCACGCCACCCCAACGTCTGATGGCAAGACATAACGACACCACGGCAGGAACAATTGTGGTCTTATTTCAAATATCTGATGTGTAAAAGCGTCCGCAAGTCACCTTGCGTGCTCGCCGTTCACCAGCTGGAACCAATAAGACTACAAATCCAAATCGTCGCATTAGGAACTGTATCCTCAGCTCTCCACCTCTCTGCTTTTCACGAGCAGTCACGTTAAATAGTGTGAGTTTTCATGCCCCAAAACAGCCGAACCTGCCAGTTCCCTCCTTCGAATCGCCCACTTGAGGGCTCGGCACCACAAGCTGCAGTCACCACATCCCCATAGACCTACCATGTAAAAATGGGCCTAAACCATTTTACAGACCTGAAAATAAACATCGTCCTTTACAGCTGGTACAACAGCTAAATTTATATAGGCCCTAGCTAATTTCTCCTCATCTCCTAACTGTAACGGGAGTGACATTTCTACATTAAAGATTCTGCATAAATGGAGGTTGTGGCCACTCCTGGATGAGACAGCTCTGGCGTGACGTGTATGCCTACGCACAAAATTTGTGCTGCCATGCACCAAAGTTCGCGCCTCTAACCGTCCCATCCCCTCCCCTCACTATCCTATTCGATTATCCAGCGATTTAAGGCTGGGTCAGGCCACCCTGCCAAAGGCTGGCTGATCTTTACTGCAGCCTACTCCTCGAGCTTCAACAACACTTTCTAACGGCTGCACACCGCACCACAGACCGGCTCATGTTCATTCATTAAACTAACAGTCTCACACTACTGTTTAGCCTATTGCTTTACCAATGTTCAGCACAAAACTCCTCATGTTCCTCACTCTAACACTCTCACCTCTCTATCATAGCTGTGGTTCACCGCCACAGAGAAGATGTTTACAGATCTCTCTCTCTT